GGCGGCGGCGGCTGCGGCTGCTGCCCGTGACCCCGCGCCTGCACGGCCGCCGCCGCCGCGCCGGGGGCATTGCCGCAGCCGAAGGTCTGCTCGCCGTAGCCGGGGCGCGGGTAGAGCGCCTGGGGCGGGAAGTCCGCGCCCTGCGAAGCCCCGTAGTAGTCCGAGCCGGGCTGCTGCTCCCCGAGGTAGCCGCTCTGCAGATACTCCTCGCAGGGCGGGAATTTGGGGTCCACGTACTTGGAGTTCACCATATAGGAACTCATGGCCATTAATTTCGGGGAGGTGGAAAATACTAATTTTTTTTTCTGGTGTTGTCTTTTTTTCCTCCCCGCCACAGATCCCTCCTACTTGCTGTCAACTGAATAAAGTTGGGCGCCCACGTGACCGGACCGGCCAATCGGGGAGCGGAGAGGTTGATCACCGGATCTGTGTGCGCACCTCATAATTTCCACAAATTTCCACTAAATAACGCACGGGGAAATCAAGGGGACCCCAAGGCGCGCGCTGGGCCGCTCCTCCGCCCCCCCTCCCCTTCCCAAGGAGATATGAATATCATAACACACGATGCATCCAGCCAGAGACGTCACAGTGACCCCCCCCAACACCCCCCACCCATCTGCCCTCCTCCCTCAGGTAAATCAAAGGCTTTTGTCTCCGCCGACTCCCCCCCCCCAAAACCCTTGATGCTCTTTCCTCTAATTTTTGTCAATCCTATGAAAACGTTAGTGGGTTATGTCGAGCCTGAGTGGGGTGGGGTGGGGTGGGGAGGTGCGCAGGCATAGGCGGATACAGAGGAGGGAAGCCAGCGGGGACAAAAACTCAGAGAGAGGATCAGAAATCAGAAGAAGACATCAAACGCGAGGGCGATATGACGCACAATGGAGCGGCCCTGCCTTTGTTTTGTTGGGGTCAACCAAAAGCTACCAGAACCTAGCTGGCCAGAATCAAATCAGACAATGAGTAACTAGCTTCGAATTTACTCCCAAAAGTTAAAACAGTGTGTGTGTGTGTGTGTGTGTGTGTGTGTGTGTGTTTTTAAAAAGCCATACCAAAAAACCCCACAAAAATTTGAGATCTTCTGAAGATGATAAATTCAGCTTTAGAAGAAAAATTACATTTGATTATTCTTTTTTTTAAAGATTAATAAGATAGTGCCAATGTCCTGTTGTATGTAGCTTCCCCCCTCCCCTCCGAAAGAAACAAAATCGACATAAGGCTGATTCTAATAGTACCGTTAAAAATCTGGAAGAGATTGGAGAATTGGGATGGAAAAAAAGAATCTCTGATACCAGACAGTTGTTCTAAGCACCTTTTATTGCGTTTTCATTTAAAAAAAACATGTTCTGACCAACTACTACCTCACCCCATTCTTTATACTAACTATATTTAAATGAACAGGTTTATGATGGGATGCGGGCCCTAAACATTAAACAGGAACCTCTGATGAGAAGGAGGGAAACCACCATGCAAGTTATCTTTAGGCATCTTCTACCTTTAAAACGTCTAACCGTTTGCAGAAAGGTGACGTTTTTGCATCGACCATATATTCCCCTAGAATCGAATCTGTGACTATGTAAACACCACACAAATTCGGTTCTACAGGGTATATATAGACAACGTAATAAACATTCTGGTCTCATCTACTGAGGGTCACAAAAGGCAGCGGTGACCATAACGTTGGGATTCCTCTAACATTCTTCCAAGGACTGCAAACCTACTCAGTAGAGGCAAAGGTCTGAAATTATGGCTTCGAAGAAGGTGATGATTACATAGGAACACAAACAATATTATGTCAATATGCTATTTCCGGGTGACAGTGCTCTTTTGGGACGGTTCCCAAGGACGGATTTCAGGCAGCGTGGGTTACAAACAGCGCGGACGCTTCGTCATTTAAACAGGCACAGAAAGAAATGAAATCGCATTTTAAAATGGCAGTGAATGCGTGTTTAACTGCCTACCGAGATGGAATCTCAGCTCATTTTAAGTCTGTAAATAATTTTTTTAAAAATCTCCACGACCCCAAAGAATAATAATTTTTAAAGCCTCCTGATCGATAAGGCAACTGTTCTTTACCAGAGAAAAATTAACCTGCGAAACGAATAAAACCTAAGGCTGGGTTGATGCCACCGGCTGGTGTTTTTACGGCATTTCTCCGAATAACGGAGATCCTTTTCTTTTTCTTTTTAAAAGAGCCCTCTGGTTTTTCTTGCAGTGGCCTGGATGGTGAAGGGCAGGGCGGGAGGTCAGTCTAAACCATTTACAAACATATCCCCGCATTCCATTATTGCTGCTTTGTCGACAGAAGCTCAGAGGAGTCCAAAAGTTCATGAATTGTGGCTGACCCGGTTCCTCTGTCTTTGCTCTGCGGTCAGCTCTGCTCGGCTGTTCTAACTAAGAAACATGGGGGCAAATTGGGGGGGGGGACCTTACGTACCTAAGCTGCGGAGGGCATTCAGGATCTGTCTCTTGTTTGTTTGTTTTCCTTTTAAAGGGCTTGCTTTTTTAATTGCCCAAAAATAGTCTTCTGAAGGCGGAAAGAGGAGAGCGCGAGGTGGAGCGCATCTCTTAAGAGATGGCTGAACCCATACCTATTTGGGGGACTGGCTGAACAGGCATTATCATTTCTAATTAGAAGAACTGGGGGGGAGAAGGAGGGGATGGAGCCCCCCCCTCCCTGGCTCCTTTTGATGAATAAGGATTTCAGAAATGCTGAATAGGTCAATGGGCCAGAGCAGCCGGCTCTAAAGAGAGATACGTCTTTCGAGTTCCACAATAAATTTTATATTTTTTATTGGGGAACTGGGGTGTGTAGTCTTCGTCCAACGGAGAAGGTCGATAATATCAGGGAGCTATTTTTTTAAAAAAAAAATTGCAATCTGCCTTCAGTGAGAGACTATAAATAAAGTAATGACAACAGTGGACACTAATCCAAACTAGCTCTCCCAATATCTTGTGCCATAGCCGCACATTTTCATATTTGTTAGACGCGGTGACCTGCGTTTCACCTTTATGGCCGGGCTCACTCAGACAGGTCAAAGCCAAAGGAGTTATTGATGGACAGAAACGTTAAATATTCACCTCCTGCTTAACTGCGCGTACAAATGCTTTTGATCCATCCGGCCCTCGTTCTCATTGTATTCTGGGTCATAATCAGCAGGGCAAATTTCGGTTTAAAGGCGACATTTTCAAATAAAACAGGGGAGATAGGCGGTCCCCCCCCCTTTGGAGTGGCTTATTTTTTGAGAGAGAGAAAGTTGAGGGCTGTCCGGAGAAAACTCAAGCAAAGGCAAGGAGCAGAGAGGGGGTTTCGGAGAAAAAAATAAAATGTGGTTAGTTCACCCCTTCTTAGTGCTTCACAGCTGTTTAAAAAACAGACAACATTGCGATTTTTGTTTTAAATAGCAAGGTTAAATAGAGCAGCCGGGAATGTCAGGTCACTGGCAGGGTAGCTTTCCAAAGGGGGGGGGGAGGGAAAATAGGAGATGAAGTTTTGCGAGGGTTTAGTGCATGCTTAACATGGAGATCCCGAGGTGTTCTTTCTCCCTTTAGGAAAACGAGGCTCCCTGTATTTCACATTAGAATACAACTGGAATAACAATCTCCTGCCATAAATGCTTGCAACAAGACCCGACATCTTTCTTTCTTTCTTTCTTTCTTTCTTTCTTTCTTTCTTTCTTTCTTTCTTTCTTTCTTTCTTTCTTTCTTTCTTTCTTTCTTTCTTTCTTTCTTTCTTTCTTTCTCTCTCTCTCTCTCTCTCTCTCTCTCTCTCTCTCTCTCTCTCTCCCAATTAAGACTCCCCCCCCACGCCAGTACCGAGGGTAGCACCGTCTCCTTCGTCCCTTCAATTCATATCAATGTCTTATATCAGGCTTTCTCAGGAAGACCTCGTGGAATCCGAATCACCCCAACACTTACAGTAAGTAACACCATTCCGATCACCAACTCTGCGAGTTTGGGTGGCTTGTATGTTTCCACCGAAATCAAGGGCATTATTTGCAAAGGGGGAGGGGTTCTACAAGCATGTACAGCGAAACACGTCAGGACATTAGTTTATTCCCAGAAGCTGAGGAAGCCGGCCACCAAATGCAACTGGATTTGGAATGTCACACTCTGTTGCAGAGGTGATAGATTCAATCTTTGGATAGCTTTGTCCTGTTCACAGGGCTAATCCTTCTCATTAGCTGGAGAGCACATATGAGCATGGGGGGGAATAACACCTTGCACCTGTACAGTCCTGTAATTATCTCCCTAGAAACTGTACCATCAGCGTTGATAGGAAGGGGGAGGTAACAAAGTTAAAGGGAAGCCTCCAGAGGCCTGCAGATGCCGACACCAAAACCGTTGAAAAGATCCTTACAGAAACCTCAAGGAACCTTCGCCAGAGACAGGGGTAAAGAGAACCAGGTAATAACGCGGGAGCCCAGCCTCCTCCCCCCTCCCCCAAAAGAGAGATAGAAAAAGAGTTCACTTACTGGAGGTGAGCAGCCATGGTCCCGCACCTGTTGCAAAGAAGAACGTTTAGGATGGTTATAATTTCAGGTCAAATTAGCGGATCATCTTTCGAAGTCTTTTATAGAAGCAGCACGACCAATCATGGAAACACGTTTGTTTTTTTTAACAAAAAGCACACCTTCCCCACTCCTAATTTCCCCTCCTTTCCGACAATTTTTTTTAAAAAGATAGCTGATCGCTCTCCGACAAAACCGAAAACAACACTTTGGTCTCCGTCGCTCTGTTGAGTTAAAAAAGATGCCCCCCAACACCAGAAGGTCTTTTGGACCGCCGATTTGACCGTCATCGACAGAAACCGTCTCTTCGGGGTCCCATCCTGTCTCCAAGGGGCTTGCAGCAACACCTGGTGGTCGGTGACACCGGGGCCTTCTGCCCATGCCGTCCTCAGCAGAAGAGGCGTCCTTCACAACCCAGGGACTTCTGTTCCGTCCTGCTTTCATCGCCCAAGACCGAAATACCCACAACCTCAAAGTCCTTACCGGCTGCCTAAACAGCACCTTTCTAGACCTAGGTGGGTTTCATTAATGCTGACTTAAATACCTGTCCCCCCCATATCTTCTCTGTTGACACCAACAAGCGCCCCTTGATCGCCCACGTGCATATAACCCCGCACTGTATTTTGGTTTAAAAAAAGAAAGAAAGAAAGGAAACTGTTTGGAAGAGAAGGCAAACCCAGAATGATTTAATCTGTCGACGTCCCCCTTTCCTCCCTTCGTCCCTTTCCTTTGTGGACAGCGCCAGGCTAGGGGGAAAAGGACCCGTTCTAAACGCCAGCGCGGCCAGGTTAGTAGGTGGCACCGATTCTTTAATCTCTTCCGAAGGGTTTCTTCTCCCTCCAGTTCCCTTCGAGCCTAACAGAGACAAGGAGAGGGGGAAATATTCAGCCGAGGGAACCGGGAACCGCACCGTCCTCCCTGGCTTCAGATCCAGGCTTGGAAACCTGGGAAAGTGGGGTTCCTGACAACTCTTCTCCCTGAGACCCGATCGAATAGAACCGGATGAAAGCCGAGACAACGGAACATCGCACCCTGGGGCTTCCCCCGGATCTAGATTTCCCGGCTCACGCACCGCAGCAGCAGCAGGAGATGCGAGAAAGAGACCGACAGAGAGAGACTTACTGTGGGGTTTCCCAAAGAAAGGACCGGGCAGAAGGCGCCGGGATTTCCAGGCAGAAAGCTCCTTTGCCCACCGTTTCCCTTGTCACTGCTTCAAGGAAGTCAAGCGCCGGCACTTGTATGCTCTTAAACTAATTTATGGTGGGAATTATATTTTGGCTTGTCAACTCTCAAGCCATATAGCAAAGTTTATTGGGATCACGTGCTCCGAAGGAGCCACTCAGGGCCTATCTGGGCGAAACAATAAATAACCTCCGGCTTTAAACTTTTATTCACTTAAATAAAGAGGGGGCCTGGAAGGAAAAGGAGAAAGGAGGGGGGGGATGGGGGGAAAGGGAGAAAAGGGCCGGTGTTCTATGAAATTTAAGGGAGTCCAAAATAGCCAGGATGGTGCGAGCGAGGGGCAGGCGGCGGGGGTAGCGTTTTCAGGATAGTTGGTGGTGCCCGGAGAGGGGCCAAAAGGGGACCCTGAGCTCTCCCCTTGGTGGCTCTTGAGGAAAGGAACGTGTGAATTTCGCTGTGAGTGAGTACCGATTCCAAGTTTATCTGAATGAATATGTATGCGGCAGGCAGGGGGGGAGGAGGGAGGAGGGGGGAGGGGGCAAAGGGACGTTTGAAGCGACTTGAAAGGCCGTCAGGTTTGGGGGAGGGGGGAGGGGGAGGGGGCAAAGGGACGTTTGAAGCGACTTGAAAGGCCGTCAGGTTTGGGAGACCCTCACAGTCACCCCGCCCTTTCGCCGGGAGAGGAACACTTTAGGAACCACACCTAAACCCTGACAACTCTTGCTGCAGAATAATCCCGTTCAAAGCTCCCAGATACGAGGCTGCGGGTTGGGCAAATGTCACAGGGAAAGGGTTTCTGTTTCCTAACATTATTCTTCGTTTGGGCCTGTCGGGGGTGGGGGAATAAAATCCCAGTTTAAAACTCCATGGACAGAAGCAGTCTATCTCTGAATGCTAGTGGAGGTTGGCGGGCGGGGGGGGGGGGGCTGGCTGAGTTTCGTTCCGTCCTGCGATTGGGGGGGGGGGCGTGTGCGGGCTTTGCAAGCGACCAAACTGTTTTCCAAGCGCAGGAAAGGTCGCTAGACTTGTAAAAAGGGAGCAAAGCGGCTGAGCCACCACCCCCATATAGGGGGTGGTGGCTGAGCGCATTCCTCGCCCCCCCACTTCGATAGATGACAATGAGCCCTGTAATAAAACAATAAAAGCCGTCTGGTGTGAAGAGGGAGAGGAGGAGGGGCGCACCAGCAACGTAGCTTTGATGGGATTCATTCCAAACACAGAGAGGGAAGTTTTCCCTGGCCAGGAATCGCCCCCTTTCCTTTTGCGTGTGTGTGTGGGGGGGAAACGTTGGAGAGTTTGCCTTTGCGGGAACGCTTCGCTTTATTTCCTTCAGTCCGATTGACAACGTCCGTGACAATATGTAACATGTGGGTCCCCCCCCTCCCCCAATGTGGAATTAAAAACCAAAAGGCAAAAAGGCGTGTCAATACCGAAGACACCGCCCCCTTTCCCCTTGCGGACGATCTCATGAGCGCAGGAAAATGATTTAACCAAAAAAGTTTAAACGGGCCTGATCCCCTCCAGGGAAGCCCGCTGGCCTTGCTTCTGCCCTGGCCACAAGTGGAAGACGGGACTGAATACGCCGGCCAAATACGTCGCCGAACACTAATCTTTATGCGAAAGAGTGAAACGCAGGGAGAAAGTATCCCAGTAACCGTTTAGCCTGAAAACTTCTCTCAAGCCACCTTTGGTTTTATAAGGAGCTGTTTCTGACGGCGTCAGTCCCCTAGAAGGCCGGCTGTCTTCAATGCTCCCTCTAAGCTGTAGAGTCTTGTGAGCAAAAATTCTACTTTGTGAGCTACTGGCATTAAAATTGTGAGCAAGCGATTTGGCTACTGTGTAAATGAAGTTTGCTCTGTAGCCATCCTTTCTGAGCAAAGACAATAATGTATAAGCTGGAAGCTAAAAAACTGTGAGCTAGCTCACACTAACTCAGCTTAGAGGGAACACTGGCTGTCTTTGTTCCCCTCTGTTTTGAAAAAGTGGATCAAAAGACCTGATATGGGGGTTAGGGGGGTGGAGCTCTTTTTCTTCCCCTTCCTACATTCTTTTTTAACAGGGATGGTAACCGACTCAAGAAACCTAAGACAGAAAATCAGAAACAAACTTTATCCCCCAAGAAACCCCTAAACCAAAAAAAACTAAACTTAGACAGAACAAAGTTAGAGCACAGTAGCACCTTTAAGATCAACAAAGCTTTATTCAAGGTATAAGCTTTGGTGTGCAGACACACTTCTTACACGGAAAACTTCGTGGTTCTTAAGGGTGCCGCTGTCCTGATGCTTCAGACCAACAGGGTTGCCCACCTGAACTTACATTCGGATCAAGAAACCGTAGGGAGTCACTGTGGTATGACAGGTCACTGCCGCACCACAAGAACCCTCAAGGTTGATAACCTTGTATTAAAGCCCGTTTAAATATGACGCCTCGGTGATTGACAGATGGGCTGATGGGGTTTGGTTTTGGCTGGAATGTTTAATCAGACACTTCTTCCCAGTGAAGACTAGCATACCGGGTTCCAAGGGCGTCTTTATGCATGACATTAAAATAGTTTATAAACTAAATCTAAAATATATGTGGACAAGGCTGTTATCTAGCTCGCCTGGACAGCATTCACAGGTGGCCCGAGAAGCTCCAGAAAGACTCAAAGGAGGGCTTCAGAACAGTCTAATAACCCTACCTATTTCAAGTCTCTCTGAAAGACTTCAATCCTAAAGGACTTAAGCAAAAGAAAATGTGTAGAGAATTGCAGCCTAAACTTCTTACATTCAACTGAACTCATTGGGGACGGGCCATACTTCAGGGGTAGAGCATCTGCTTAGCATGCAGAAGGTCCCACGTTCAACCCCTGGCATCTCCAGTGGAAAGGATCGGGTCGGTGAGACCTCTCCCTGAGACCCTGGAGAGCCGCTGCTGGTCTGAGTAGAGGTTGCTGTCCCTGATCGACCCATGGGTCTGGTTCAGTATAAGGTAACTTCGCAAATACTTTGAAGTAGCTGTGAATGGAAGTGAAAGTCCAATGGCTATGAGGAAACCAGAGGCTACTTCCCCACGTAGGCTTTGACACTGGGCTGTAAGCTTCTGTGCTACAGATTTTCCCCAGGGATGCTGGAAGCTGAAGGAAGAGGATCACACACCCCTGCTCAATGCATTTCGATAGGATTTATACCAGCACCTGAAACATTCGGCTGTGCTTCGTCAGTCTCAGGGCTGAAGCTTTAAGACATCAGTTCCTGTTCCTCTCAAACATACATTGACTGCAAATCGTTATACATTTTAGTACTAGTCCTTGAGACTCCTGAAGGTGGAGAAAAGGGGGGGGGGGTATAAAAACTAACTCTTCTTCTTCGTGTCTGATCCCGAACAGAACAATGGACAGATGTGAGGACTTAGCTGTGGGGAGATCTCAGCGATAAGTGATGGTCACCACAACCAGTTTGGTGTAGTGGTTAAATGCATGGACTCTAATCTGGGAGACCCGGGTTTGATTCCCCACTCCTCCACTTGCAACTGCTGGAATACCTTGGGAAAGCCATAGTTCCGACAAGAGCTGTCCCTGAAAGAGAGGTTCTTGAAAGAGCTCTCTCAGTCCCACCTACCCCACAGGGTATCCGTTGTGGGGAGGGGAAGGGAAAGAAGTCTGTAAACTGCTCTGAGACTCCGAGTGACGGGGTATAAATCCAATCTCTTCTTCTTCTCTTCCTGTGTTGGGCATCTATGTTAGAGGGAAGGTCCCTGCAGGATCTTCATTCCGATAAGCCAATATCTGTTGTATTTATTTATTTATTTATATGTTTTTAAATTCATTT